AGTTTGAAGAATCAGGCCCTTGAACAGCTGGGGATTTAGGCAATGCTTTAATTGGTGTGGATCAGTTACTAAATAAAATACTGAACTCAGCACAAAAGCTGGAGCGTGAAGTCAATAACAATAGATGAGGCTAGGAGGGAAAAAAACCAAGAGGTGTCAGCTTTCTGACACCACGAAAAGCTGGAAGGTTACTTCAATGTGCAGTGAAATAGCTTCATGCACAGAATGCAGCCTGCATACCAGGAGGGGATTACTTTTTATGAGCAGAAGTGGAATAAAAAATTCTTTAAATTAAGCCCACATGTAGAAAATGAAGAAAGGCTGCAAAGAGGCTCATCCTTCAAGGAGTGTCAGCCTTGAAAGATTGGGGAAGGCCCAGCTGTGCCCCAGCAGCTGGTATCCCATGGACTCTGAAAGGAATTGGACCTGGCCTCCCACTGGGATATTATGGAGGCTGTTTGCAAAGTGGGGGGCTGGTCCTTGTCCAGTCGGATAGTGACATTTGGATTCCACTTGGCTGCATTTCAAGTGCACATATTGAAAATTACATCCCTCAGCAGTGGGATGAAGTTGCCATCTTGAATGGAAGGTCTATTTATAATGACTTTGTAGATATTTTTAAAGGCCAATAAAAGAAAAAAGCGTGACAACTGGCCCATGTCTGATGTGACAAACAATACTTTGTATGTTTTGATTGGAAATAACCACATTTCAGCATAGCACAGGTGCATGGTCCCACGTGCACAATGTGGTAACATCTACCCTTTCCCTTACTGAACTGACCACAGCCAAGAAAGCAAGGCTCCTGTGTTACACCAAGATCACCATTTGTCACAACTAAAGGAATTTTCAGAATAAAGAAAAAAAATGGAATATAGGGTGTAATTGAGGCTAAAATATCCTGGTTCACTCTCCCTCCTATAGCCAGTCTGCTGATATTTTGACTGAAACCTTGCCATGGCAGAAGATCGCTTCTCTGCTCCCTAGGAAGTGCCTGGTGTATTCAGAAACACATGTAGGGCCATCAACCAACATAATTTAGGGCCATCTCCGATGTCTCCAAACAGCAGTGGAACCAGATCGCCTGCTTACCTCTCCCTTCTGGACTACTTTGGATACAATAAATGGCCACAGTAAAATATGGATTAGTCCTGCTTTCAGTGAGGTCAGCATAGCCAAACTACTATTGATTGTGAAGAGAAGATTAGGCCCTCTTTACTATGACTATTCAAGGTAATTAACCACTTTTGAGCTATAAAATTCAAACAGCTTCATTGAAATATATTACTAGTGAGCTCTGTTCAGAGTTTTCCTTTTATGCTTTTGGTAAAATATATGTTACAGTGTTCTTATAGGATGCCTTCTGAAGTGTAGCATTTGTGAGAATATTGCATTGTCTTAAGTACCAAGACATGTTGCATGGGTTGAGTGCTTCATCTGTATTCACCAGCAAGCAGCAGCAGATGAGCAAACAGCTATGGCGCCTTTTAGGTTATCTGCAATTCTTCCAAGATGACTACACCTGCAAACCAGCATCACGACTGTGTAAATCTGAAATGTGTTCTATGCAAGGGCTGTGGTACAATGACACTAAATCCTGAGACCACCACAGAAAATGTGGGTAGTGATGAGACTGTGTTGTCCCAATGTTTGGAAAACACCATGCTTCCACCTTGGGGAAGGAGGGCAAAGGTGGAGGGTTTTTCACGTTTGGGAGCATGACTGCCATTTTCAACAGGCCAGGACATTATCCCTAATATTTCTTCACCACCTTTTCCCAAGTTGCATCCTGGTGTTCTTAAACTGTGTGACCTGTCAATGAAATATAGTCACCCCTATATCAAGTACAGATAGTCAACTCTAGTCCCACCAATGGCTGGGAGGAACCGGGCAGGTACCCCTTGTGCACAGGGTGAACCCCACACCAGCAGAAGTCACTTTCCAGTGGTGTGAGTGAAATGGCCTAATGTGGACTCCAGCCTCCTTTCCCCTCTCCTCCCCTGGAGATGCTGGTTTTCACTGTTTTTAATGTGCGTGGTGCTGTCTCGGCATGCGGCTGGTTTCTAGAAGCACTGCTGCATTGTTTTCAGCGTCTGGAGGACAGACTGCTTGGACCTCCAGAGGAGGCAAGGCCACCTTCAAAAGCTTCCTGTCTTCTTGGCCCATAAATAATTAAGAGGCATAAGACAGGCAGCTTAGTTATTTATTTATAGGTTCTTTGGTGACACTTATCATGGCAGCATCAGAGTGGCAACAGCCTGATATGCTAACGGGCGGCGGTGCAACCCTATGCCGCTAGCTGGCCCGTCCCAGGGAAACCTCTGCACCAGACACTGCCGTGTTGCGGAGCGGAGGAGAGCCGACGTGCTGTGGCAGAGGGAGAGGAACCGGTGCTCTCCCCCAGCCCTGCCCACACCCTCCTGCACCAACGCACTCTCGCCTTTCCACGCTGTTAGCAGTCCAGAGGCTGCTGGGTAGCAGGGGGTGGTGGCATCCTGTGGCACTTGCTAAAAGCATACGGCTGAAGGAGTTCCTAGTTTACTGTCTCAGGTGCGGAGAAGAGAAGGCCCTGTCTTTTGACCCTGAATTACATGTTAAATATCCAACCACCATTTTGCACAGCCTGGCAACCCAAAGGACTAGCTGCCACAGGGGCGGTGCTCAGGACAGGGCATGGGCATGAGGAGGCAGCACTACGGAGACTTCATCAAAAGACAGGAAAAAAATTGGAAAACATTGTCCAACTTGCAGAAGCTGCCAGACATCAATGGATTGCTCTGACTAGCTGTCGGTTGGCTCTGGGGAAATGGCTGCGAGCTGGAGCACGCAAGATGCTGTATCCTGTAGGCCACCTGATCCCCGGCCATCCCTGTCGCTAGCTGGTTCTGCGTGGTGTTTGGTTCAAAGAGTTGCCTGAAGATAAGGAAGGCAACCAGGAGCATCTCTGCCTGCTCACAGCAATGCACAGGCCTTTTTAGTGTTGTCAGTGAAATGACGGCCAACACACCGCTTGCCTCAACAACTGCAGAAATGGTGCTTTACAAGTTCAGTCCTTGGGAACCACCTTTTAAGTCAGATTATCTTATTTGTCTCTGAAACAAACTTGTTCCTCCCCAGCCTGGATAGAAGGTAAAGTGGGAACAGTTATGAATGCTCTTCATTTATTTTGTGATTTTTTTTCTAAAGGAAGAGGAAAAGCCAAAGTACTAGACAAAATCCTACCTTATGCAGGATATGTTCTTCTCTCTTCTCTATTGCTGAATTTACTACAGGTATGCTAGAGGCATCCTAAACTAGAAGGAATGTTTTTAGAAAGTCTTGGTATTCTCTTAAATCGAAAGCTACTGACACAAATGATCCTTTTGTTTTAACATATCTCCAAAGCAAACAAGAAAGCACCTTGCAAAGCTGCAAAGAGAAAACGTGCTCAAACAGTGTTTGAAGTAGCTTACAGTACGGAAAACCTTTTCATACGGATATTGTCATGCAGGCTGCTATTCATAACGACAGGGATCACCTGCTCCTCTTTCTGCCACATAGCATCCCAGTGACGATTCCAGCAATTGCTTACATGGAAAAAGGGGTAGGAAAGTACTTATGTATTTTTAGCTATCTTTTTAAAACACAGTTCAGCAGCTGGAGAAAGATAGGAGAAACCAACACCATGTAGGCAATCACTCACAATGGTGATTAGAAAGTGCTACATAGACCTCAGTTTCTGAGCTTCTGAGGTAAAACATAAGGTTAAACACCAGGGACAAATTCTGCGCTCACTTCTTCTGTGTCATTTCATTGAGGATTCCAGATTTGTGCCCGTGCTGCTGCAGGTGCATCAGAATCTCCTTCACTGAGGTCTACTGTTTACTTTGTCTGCTGTATGTAACTTTTAACTGAATCGTAGTTTGTTGGTTTTCTTGAAAAATAAAAATTAAAAAAAGAAAAAAAAGAAAAAGAAAAAAAGGCAAAGAAGAAAAGAGGGAAAAGGAAAAGGGAAAGGAAAAGGAAAAGGAAAAGGAAAAGGAAAAGGAAAAGGAAAAGGAAAAGGAAAAGGAAAAGAGAAAAGAGAAAGAGAGGAAGAAAAAGAGAAAGAGAAAGAAAATAAAAGGGAAAATAATAAAAATAAGAATAAAAAAAGAGAAAGAAAAAGGAAAAGGAAAAGGAAAAGGAAAAGGAAAAGGGAAAAAGGAAAAGAGAAAAAAGGCAAAGGAAAAGGGAAAGGAAAAAAGGAAAAGAAGACATTGAAGAAGTTGGAGAGTTGGGGTGAGGCGAGGCAAGACAAGGCAAGGAAAGGCAAGGGGAAAAAGGAAAAAAGGGAAAAAAGGAAAAAAGAGAAAAAGAAAAGAGAAAAAAGGAAAAATGTAAAGCAGTTGTAACTATTTTTTTCCTGGTTTTTTTTGTGGTGCGCAGACTTGTGAAATGTATCACAGCCTGACTGCTGACCTATTACAACTGCTTGAAGACCTCAGCCAAAAATTCTGATACTGATACAGCAACATATAATCTGCTCAACCTAAAAATAAAGAATGATGCTTAGAAAATAGTGTAAGACTAATTTATTTACAAATATTTCAGCAGTTATATTTTTAAAAAAATTTTTCTTCTGAAGACTGAAGAACGATAAAAGCGTAATTCAGAAATTTTAGACACACTGATGCTTTGCTGTTCCTTGGGGGCATCTTTAGTGTTGGCTTTTCCTTTTCTGGAAACTTCTAATGTAAAAATACCTTGCACCACAGCGCTGATGCAGGGATCAGCGGTTCATTAAAAACTAATCCGTGAGACATTAGGTTTACAAGTGTCACAGACACATTAGATTTGAAAACAAGGAGGAACAGCAGTGGTGAAAGGATTGTCAAATATACAGAGAATATCCCCATAAGTGGGTACTACCATTAGTTTTGCAGGAAAGCATTAGTTCTGAAAATTAATTTTGTGTGTGTAATTACTGGTCACAGCTGTTTAGGAAGTGGTATTATAGCACGTTAGACTGAAAACAATCAAAAGAGGTTTTATTTATTTTTTTCCATTTGAGATTATCTCACTGGCTTAAGCAGCACTCTTTATACTCAGAAATCCCTACATCTGTAAAAAAAACCCACAAAGACTGTAAATATCTAATCAGTCTTGAATAATTCAGCTATCTTCACTTGCACACGGTCTACATACAGCCTTTCAGACTAACTCTCGGCTAATTCCTTCGCTATGAACATCAGTCAGTTATCTACAGGGTTTGATATAGTCTTTATAGAAAGAGAAAATGGCAGAAACTGCTTTACTTTTCCTCCGTGGATAGTCGGTAAAGATTCTCGCCCAAGTACTCGAGCCTCTCCCGCTGTTCCAGGTCCTGGTACAAGCCTTTTGGGACCTTGCTCAGGCCATAAACCAAGCCGTACAGGCAGCCAGCGATAGACCCAGTAGCCGCGCTTTCTCCTGCAGGTTTAAGCACAGTTGCAGTGGTCTCTTAGTCACCTTCACATACACAAACAAAAACCGTGCTGCACAGAGGAGGAAATACGCTGCTGATGGAGCGTGGTGGGGGCACGTTGGGTCAGTCCCAAAGGCTTGCACCACCCTGTGTCCTGCCTCCGGCAGTACCAGGTGAGGGTGCCTAGGGAAGAGAGCAACGCCAAGGCAAGGATGTGGCGATGCCTCTGCGATGTGCACTCCTGGGCTGGGAGCTTATTTGGGGAAAAATTGGTTGGGGAAAATCCCAAATTGCACCTCAAATACTGTGTCCAGTTTTGGGCCCCTCAATACAAGAAAGACATT